TACATCTAAAAAGTTGAACCCATTATTATTATTTATTATTTCTACTTTAAATGTCTCCCACTCATCCAAAGGAATGTGATCTGTACTTAAATAAGGTTAAGGAGTACCAGTTATATCATGTTTGTAAGATGATTAATATTGTCATCATTTATTGTTTATAAGGGGGGCCCTTCAAGGGAGGCTAAGATGATGTATGAGAGATGGGGACTTCTTGAAGGGAAATTTTCTTATATGTTTTATTGAAGATGAAGTAATTAAATAGAAGCATAATTTTTTTTTTCTTTTTTTTCTTTTTTTTTATAGATATTTTGAAATCGAAACTGGCTTGTTTTTTTTTGGGCTTATATCAATCATGACTATTATAATTCTTTTTTTATCGCCAAATTTTCAAATAGAATTTTACCAGAGGATTGAACTTTAATTATTACTAATTTTTCAGGAGATTGACTTCTATTTGAGTATAATGAGGCAAATTAATTCAAACTTTAAAGTAAGGTAAACAGAAAGTTCATCTTTAAGGGTTTTTTGCTGGCTCTTGAACATTTGTATTAGGTTATGGATTTTCAAGTGTTTTGACCTCGAGCATTTCAGACACAGAAAAGACATTTATTTTAGGAATATGCAGAAAGTGAATTACTTAGTTGTACTTAACTTCAACTTCAGTACTGTTGATGAAAATTGGGTTGCATTATACATTTTGAGGAGACAGTTTTTTTTTTATTAACTTAATTAACAAGGAACTTAAATAAATAAACAATAAACTCAAAAAGACTATGATGTTTGGATTAAGAATTTTAAACTTTGCAAAAAAAAATGCACCACTTTCATGTCAAATCTAAAAAATATTTGTTCATGTCAACCGTTTACATAATTTACAGAAATATTCTAAACAAATTTTAGTATTATTACCTATGTCAGTAATTTTAATCAAATCATAGTTTGCTTTGATGATTTCCAGGAGGAACTTAAGGGCATAAGATACAGTTACAGGGAAGGTAATGACGTTATCAACATTATATTTTATTTTTCATGACGTCAAACTGTGACATATTGGGAAAAAATGTATTTTTCAACTGATTTAATCATAAGCTTGAAAACGAGTTCATGAACTCTTTTTCAAAATCAATTTTGGCTTGATTATATGTGAAGGTTATTTGTTCCAATTTTTATGATCAAATCATCAATGAATTTAAAAAAAAAAACTGATTAATATACAGCAAAAAATGGCAGTTTTTTTTTTCTAAGATTATAAAAATTTAATAAAAATTAATTATTTCCATTAATAATTGGTACACAAACTATTAGGGCATACTTATGTAAAGTACAAAATTACTCTTGTGTTTATCTTTTGAAACAAAAAAGTTAGTTTAATAATAATGTGTGTCCAAAGGATAGAACTTTCCAAGAAACTGAAATGTTCAGTAAATGTCAAAAATGTTGACCCCATTTATCTCTAAAAGTAGCACATTAAGGTATACTTTTATTACCTATCAGAATTGATTAGGTGAAAAATAGCTTGTATGCAAATTTTCATTAAAAATCACTTTTGGATCAAATAAAATTGAGAATGGAAATGGGGAATGTGTCAAAGAGACAACAACCCGACCATAGAGCTGAAAACAGCCCAAGGCCACCAAATTGGTCTTCAACACAACGAGAAAATCACAAGGAGGTGGGCTTCAGCTGGCCCCTAAACAAAAATGTGTACTAGTTCAGGGAAAATGGATGTCACACTAAACTCTGAAACATATAAATGAACTAAAATTAAAAAAACATACAAGACTTAAGCAAAGGCCAGAGGCTGTGTACCTTATGCCCTTCAGTGGTTTTAAAATGAAATTTGACAGTTCGTCTTGTTTTGTTTCCTAAAATGCTACTAACCTGCATCTTAAACTTGAATCATTATAGATAGATTGTATGCAAATATTCATAAAAAATAATTGTGGAATAAAAACGGTTTCCATTAAGTGGTTGTAAAACAAATTTTAACAGTTAGTCTTGCTTGGTTCCCTAAAATGCTATATACTTGCTCCTTAAATTTGAATCATAAATAGCTTGTATGCAAATAGTCATAAAAAAAATCCTTTGTGGGTCAAAACTATCAGACTGTACTGTATGCCCTTAAGTGGTTTTAAATCAAAATTTAACAGTTAGTCTTATTTTGTTTCCTTAAATACTTATATACCTGTTCCTAATAAATTTGAATCATGAAATTAGCATGTATGCAAATATTCATAAATAAAACCCACTGTTTGTCAAATCTGTATCAGACTGTAGTGTGCCCTTAAGTGCTTTTAAAAACAAAATTTAACAGTCTGTCTTGTTTTCTTCCCTAAAATGCTATATACTTGCACATTAAATTTAAATCATAAATAGCTTGTATGCAAATTTTCATAAAAAAAACACTGTGTGTCAAAACTGTTTCAGGCTGTCAACAGTATGCCCTTAAGTTATTTTATAACAAATTTTAACAGTTTGTCTTGTTTTGTTCCCTAAAATGCTATATACTTGCACATTAAATTTAAATCATAAATAGCTTGTATGCAAATTTTCATTAAAAAAACATGGTGTGTCAAAACTGTATCAGACTGTACAGTATAGGCCCTTAAGTTATTTTATAACAAATTTTAACAGTTTGTCTTGTTTTGTTCCCTAAAATGCTATATACTTGCTCCTTAATTTGAATCATAAATAGCTTGTATGCAAATTTTCATAAAAAAACACTGTGTGTCAAAACTGTATCAGACTGTACAGTAGGCCCTTAAGTTATTTTATAACAAATTTTAACAGTTTGTCTTGTTTTTTCCCTAAAATGCTATATACTTGCTCCTTAATTTGAATCATAAATAGCTTGTAGGCAAATTTTCCTGAAAAAAAGAGAAATACTGTGGGTCAGAACTGTATCAGTGTACTCTATGCCCTTAAGTCATGTAAGTGGTTTAACAGTTTTTCTTGCTTTGTTGCTTTGTTCCCTAAAATGCACCTTAAATTTGAATCATGGAAAGTTCAACATCTGCTGTTGACGTTTGCAGGTGATATTTTATACAATATTTTACATTTGATGAATTAAAAAAATTTAAGGATAAAATATCACAATTTAATATCAATATTCTTATTATCACCTATCTCAGTATTTTTAATCAAATCATATATATATGGCATGGCTTTGTTGTTCCAAGAATGTCACCATAAATACCAATAAATAACTGGAAATACTGGAAAATACTGGTCAATTCTGGTCAATTCTGGTCAATTGAAATTTTGATAAGACATTACTATACCTAACGAGTTCTAACCTGATCAAATACTGGGTAAATTGACAGAAAGTCACTAAATTGCTTAATTAGTAATTAGTAATTATTCATGTTAATAATTACTAAAATATTCAATCTACCAATATTTGCCAGGATCAAGGATCCTTGCCAGGATTGACTACTTGAGGAGTATTGACTGAAACGGTAAATACCAGTAAATACCACAGGTATATACCAGGGGCGGTATTTATTGCTCATGCAACCTTGGTCTTATAAAAATAACTAGACTTGGTATGATTCCCAAATATGAGACAACTCTCCACCAGAGACCAGGTTTTGGAATATATAATCAACCAGATTGAGTGTTTCTGAGAGTGCCCCATTCCAAGCATTGTTAGAAATTACTTGGCTTATTTTGTGGGCAGATTGATGCTGTCAGTCTTAGGCTAAAAAATCTCTTTCATTGCCCCCTTAGTGTCCTTTTTAGCTAATCTTTAACTCTCATTTAAACATAATATCTTTGATGACATTAAATATTTGATGTCAAGTGAGGCAGTAGAAAGTAATATTTTGACGTCAGTTGCTAACAGTGGTGCTAATAGGGAAATAATTACCATAGATTTTCTTTTCTAGTTTTGTTCTCCCACTTTGAAAGTTTTAATTATGACTATAGCTTTCCTATGATGCTTCACACAAAAATTTCAATCTGAGTGACGTACATTTTAATAATATTTGACAGTTTGGGTTATTTGTTTTCTGAAATAGTTTTATCAATGCCCTCCTTAGAGTTGAGTTAGCAGTAATTAACTTCCAGGGTCTTTTTCAAATCCCTTTCCTACAGAGTAATTTAATTTTGAAACTTAAGTTGGGAGTGTAAAATTATAAATACACACTCCCTCCCCAAAATATTTGCCTCTTTATGACGTGAAATAATTAAAAATATGTTTATTATTTACTTGTAAAAGAAAGGGTGAATTCTAATAAAGATCCTGTTCCCATGCTTTGACAGTTGTGATTTATTAAAGTTTATACCCATGGAAGAAATAAGGAATACACAGTAACATTTGGTAAACTGTGAATTTAGGGAGCTCCCTTAGCCGACTAAAAGGTGCAGAATTATTTGCTTGCATTTATTTTTACAATTGTTGAACAAAGGACAAAAATTTGCGTGAAAAATTGAATAAACAGTGCTGGTGGATTCATTAATTTTAAGTAGATTGCAGAAAAATTGTATTTTCGTGGATATTTGATTTTGTGGTTTTGCCAAAGTCTGCATATAAGCCTTACAAAAAGCGTACTTCATTGAACATTGAAATTAGTCGTTCACCTATACCTACGAAATCCACGAATATTGGTATCCCACAAATCCACAGTATATGAGTTTTGACTGGTTTTGTGTAGAATCATGCAGTTCAACATGCTTTTTACATAATACAATCATATAAATTATTGCAGTTTAAACTAGTTTTTTTCAATAGAATCTGGCAGTCCAAAATAGCTATTAAATGAATTATTAAGTACCGGTGCATTGCAGCTTGAGCTGTGGTTTTTTCCTGGAAGAATCTTGCAGTTCAAATTGATATTTGGATAGTTACTGTGGCAGCAGGTTTTTACAAGATTCTTTGCATTCACAGTATTGATATAGCGTAAATTCATTTTTAATTTTGTGTCAATAATCATTGAAAATGTTAATATAGATTTAATAGTGCTAACAAATTTTCATTGTATTTTTTTTTTTTATTACAGATTTGATTGAACATAGCACTGAAAGTTACTCAAATTTACAAAGATGAAAAATCGATGAAAAAAAGACACCATGAGAAGTCTTAATGATGGTGATATGACGATTACAAATCCTCTCCCTCCTCAGAATTTGAACACTAACATGATTGGGCAATTGGGTACAAATGTTGGGGAGGAGCCAAGGAGAATACTCGTCAAACAGGAAGCTGTGGATGAGGAGGATGGCTCAGTCAATAAAAGGAGATTTTTACGTCCTGAGGTTCCAGATTTACCGAAGCAACATAGTGATCCATGTGGTCGTGTGTCAAAAGAAGGGAAATATGAATCTGATTCAGAAAAGTTCTTTGCATATAATAGAAATTATGAATATGATAGAGCTTTTAGGGAACAAAGATCTGTTGTAGAAAGGTATAATGTTGAAACTCTTCAGTACCAAAGTTCATTTGAGCATCGATCTGTTATACGAATGCCTTATAATCAAAGTGCACCTAACCTTTTATATGATAAACAAGAGGATTCGGAAATGACCGGAAACTTATTTACACCTACGACATTCAGAGATTCTGGATATCTTGGCAATTATCACCTTGCTAAACAAAAAGAGGCAAAACAATCATATTTATCAGTTTCTCCAAGAAGTTTAGGAAGAGAAGCATTTAGATCAGCTCGTCTTCCTAAAAGTGATGATAGCATAACATCAAAAGGCCATTCCGATTTTAGTGGATCAGAAGACGGTTACAGTAGTCGAGAACCATCGCCATATTCAAAGGACATCAGGTCACCATCTCCGCACATCACAAAAACTTCATCAACGGAGAGTAATGAGATTAAAAAAATTCACCAAATTACAAGCATTGTGATAACTAGTGATGATGATGTTGTGACAACAGTTAAAAGTGATATTGACACTATGACGGGCCACGAGGAAGGAACGGAGGGGTTGTTGTCCTATAAACGGGCATTATTTCCAGGAAATTTCAAGAAAAATCTTCAACATCGATACTTTAGTAGTCAGAAACGAAGTGGCTCTTCATCATCAGACGCTTCAAGTTTTGATAAGGCAGAATCTGCTCGTTCTCTTTCAAACTCACCCTCTCAGGAACGTAGTTTTGAGGAATTACCAAGCCATTCACCAAGTAAGTCAAAATCTTTAGACACTGAATCCACATCCACTAACACAACAGAGGAGAGTGATGTTTTTATGGAGTCTGCATCAAAAGTTCAAGCACAAAAACGTTCACCTCAAGGTTCTCCAGACTTTTCACAGATGTCATTCACACAGCAAGGGCATCCTCCTACTCAAAATTATTTTGGGTCGGAACTTTCACAGAATAAAGAACAAGTACATCTTGTTCCTAGTCATCCTTCTCAGAAATATTTTGGGTCGGAAATGGTGATAGGGACTAAAGAACAGGAAATTTATGGACCTCAAAACACAAAACCACAATTTCCTTATCTACATCACCATTCACCAGGATTTCCGTCACCACATTTCCTGTCGTCTGCAAACCCATCACCATTGTGCTCTGTTCCAGAAGGAGGCCATATTTTCAACTTCAATATGTCAAACCCATTTGAGGGTTTTCATTCAGATGCAGAGATTCCTTCACCTAGTCCTGGCATGTCACCTGGGATTCATTTTGCATTTCCACCTAGAGCAATGATGCTAAACTCCATGTCAGAACTGAATCGATTGGCAGTTTCTCCACGAGGAATTTATCCTAGTCAGCCCATCAGTATGCCGTTATCTCAGATACCGTCCAGTCACCCAATTTTAGAACAAAATCGTGATCAGCGTAGAACTTTGTCTGACTCCGATGCTTACATATGTCCTGTGTGTAATCAAGTGTTCCCTTCATACGATAACTTAGCAAAACACATGGCAAAACACTTACCGACAGAAACTGTTCGACAAGGGGACAATAACAAAGTACACTATTGTAAAGTTTGCAATAGATCTTTTTCTCGTAGCGACATGTTGACTCGCCACATGAGACTGCACACAGGCATTAAACCATATGAATGCAGTGACTGTGGACAAGTCTTTAGTCGAAGTGATCATTTAAATACACATAAACGTACTCATACTGGTGAAAAGCCGTATCGATGTCCTCAGTGTCCGTATGCGGCTTGCAGACGTGACATGATCACCCGTCATATGAGAACACATTATAAAAGATCGGCAAAGCGGGGAAAGTTTCTGTCAGTACCAGAGAGAGAAGGAGATTTACGAAAGAGTTCGGTATCAAGTACAGATACTACAGATTCACAAGATGTATCTGGACGAACATATTCACAATCCAGTGTGGAAAGTGTGGATTATGACTCAAGTGGATCTAGGTCCTGCTCCATATCAAGAGGTGACAGTGGTGAAAGGATGCTGTTTCCTTTATCGCGTGGAGACAGTGGTGAGACGGAAAACAGAGCAGCAAGGCCATGGTCAAGTACAGAAAGTGCCGTGTTTGAAGATTCTAGTACTGATGGACGATCAGCCAAACTACATTCTATTCAGCGTACTTCAGCAATTCATCGAGACATACCTATACAACGTGACACCCTTAAAGACCCATTTCTTGGGTACAGAAAAATGAGAAACTGGTCTACGACAAGTTTTGAAAGTGTTGATTCAGAAGACTGTAGATCTCTTAAAGATTCCTTTGCAGAAGACACAATATTTGAAGCAGGAGGGGACTCTGTTACCATGACAACATCAAATGTACAAATGGTATCTAGACAGAATGAGAAATGGGAAGGACCATTAATAGGGGTGGAGAACTTACAAGAAAAATGTTCTATAAGTTCTGGGAGTAAAACAGTAGAAGATTGATAATTAGTTTATTAGGATTTTAAATTGTTCATTTTTGCTGATCTTTTCAAAGAAGTTACAAAAGGTGTTGCCTCTTATTAGCAAGTTAAACAGACATTAAATAAGGAAATGACCTTTGCTGACACATTTTTCTGCATATTTGCATTTATAAAAAGATATTTATTTATAAGATAAGTGTTTAACTTAAGTAGACTTAAGTGTAAAAGGCTGTACTTTGACCTATAATGGTTTACTTTTACAAATTGTGACTTGGATGGAGAGTTGTCTCACTGGCACTAATACCACATCTTCTTATATCTATTTATCCTTATTTTTTGTACTTTTTCCTCAGAAATTAGTAGGACTTTTCCCCCTCAACACAACAGTTTGTTTGAACTTTGAAAAGATCAGTAAAATTAGCGGTAGAACAAATTTTATACTTTTTCTAAAAGTCTCAGAAAATGACGCATTCCTTTATTATATCAACACAAAGAATTGATATTTTTTAATTAAGAATTTTTTATATTTGTTGTTATATTTTATATTGTCCATCATTATTCTCATGTTGTTATTATCACTCAACTGTATGTTAACGGGTATTAGCCACACCTACTTACATGTGACTTATCTTAAATATAAGGCATCTGTAAGACAGACCAGTCTATAAAAAAGAAATTCCCCTATAAATTTTTTTTTGCTCAAAAAGAAAAAAAAAATCCTTTCACATTGAAAAGAATTTTTAAAATGTCATGAATGATAAATTTAGTTTAATTCAGGGAACCTATTTTCATAACAAGGATGATCTAAGACCAAGATTTAAAAAAAATTAAATTAGAGGAACAATTTTACTCTTGACAAGTGCGGTGGTGGCTTGTATTTCTTTTCATACGGTAGTGATAAATAATTGTCACGTTAGATTAAGGTGGGCTCTGATATTTGTTTGAAGGAAGATTCTATATTACAAGATTGCACAATATTATGATTATAACTGTATTTGGATTTTTTTTCTTCGTTTGATTCATTGAGAAACATCTTTACAATTCCTTGTGTCGTTTTAAGTTAAAGTTTACTGCAGCTCAAACAAGAGAAGTGAGCTTGTTTTGAATATTTCTGTAATATTAGCCACTGAAACTATCAGTCATTCAAACTATCCAGGAATCTTAGGGGGACTTTTTATGAAATAACAGCTGATTAACCTACTAATGTTTGAAGTTTATCCATGCTTTTCGGATAAAAGATTACAGCAGATTATATATATATACCGATTTTGAACAAGAATATTGAATTATCTTCCCCTTTACTTAATTTACATATCAGGATGAATGCAACAACTTAGAAAAGAAATATCAGGGTCAAACCTTAATTAATGATGACAATTTTATCAAAATGCATTTTGTATTTTATTAAGACTGTGGGTTGATAGTGTTGAATTGATTATGTTATTTTTATTTGCATATATATAGCTGGAGTATTTTTTCTCGAATTAACCTATGTGGTTTCTACAATTTTGATCAAAGAATGTGATTTTTTTTTTAGAAATAGAAGTGAAAGTAGAAATATAACATCTTATATGATATTAAAAATTATTTCAAATATTATAAAAAGTTTGAAAATCACTGATTAGCAGAAAAGAGCGCAACACATGGTTAAGGCCTAAATGAAAATTCTAATGTTTGGGGTTTCCTTTCTTACTATTTTTTTATGCCTTAAAAAAAATTATTTCAACTTTTGGTAATCAGTAATGATGACAAATTGCTGGTTGTCCCAGATACTCCAGGAACAAAATTGATAAAAAGAAATTAAATATTTCTTCAGGAGGAAACCCTTATCACATATAATTTTTAATTTGGCCTAAATATTACTTAAGGTGCATATATGAATGTAAAAATACTGGTTTTTGAATTAATTGATAGATTTCTTGTTTTATTTTCTAGTTTAAAAGATAAAGGAAAGTTATTTGATGTGAAATGATAAAGTAAAAATGCATTTTGCACATTCATCTTAGTTCTTGTTGTTAGTCTGAATTTTGGAACAGTGAGCTTATCTTGAAATCTTCTCTTACTTTTCATGTGAATTTAAAGAAGATTACATTATTTGATGACCCTATTAGTTTTACTAGATTTTCTTGATTTTTCTGATAATGATTAGATTGTCTATCGTAGAAACTGGGAAAAAAATACTTTGAAAACAGTTTTGAATTAATGAAAGGAAAAAGTTGTGAAATGTAAGATGAAAATTTGACCGATTTGCATTTTTTATTTCTAAATTCAGACATTTACATCAAGAATTTTTTCATATTTGTTTCATATCACAACATCGTTGTGTTTTAATCAGTATTATGATAGTAGATATTATTTTATACAAGTGCTATTTATATGTTTAAAAAATTGTAATTTGAACAGTTTTTATGTTCAAAGGAAGTGAAATTGAATTAAGGGGAGTTAACTTGAATTTACAAGGGGAATAACTCTTGTTAACAAAAATTCCAATTTTTTGTAGTAAATTTTTTAAATTATTTATTAGTAGTCGAGAGAGATCTTTTAAAGAAGATATGTACATTTATTAAGTAATTACTAAATGGATAACCTGATAGATATGTATATTCCAAAGAAAACTTTCTATATTTCCATGAAAGCATGTAACAAAACACATCTTTTGAACATCTGAACAGTTTAAATTACAAATAAGAGTGGTTCCTTAGTTTGCTTTACAAAGAGTACATAATTACCTTTATCTATGATAGTGTTGAATTATGTCCCTTTATTTCTAATTATAATCCAGTTATTTTTATGGGTTTTTTACAATGTATTTATAGAAACAGATCCCAGACATAATGTTTTGAATTATTATGTTTCGTGATTAATTTGGAGTATGCCACTTTTGATATTTTAAGGCCATATAATGGATTCTTAGATTCAATTGTATCTTTTATAAGATTTAGGGAAATTAGTAATCTCTCAATTTCTTTTCAGTTGCTTGTTCTCGGTAATACAATTCAATACTTTTCACCAAAAAGTTTAGAAATTCTTTTTTACAATGCAACTATCTCTTAAAAAATCACGATTGGTGAGGATGAAAATCTAGGAGATAAAGTTATCTGGCCTTAAAAATGGAACCCTTCGAGTTTTGATCTGGATAGTATCTTTATTTCAAGTGCCTTAGTATTGACCCATTTCAACGACACATTTTTGTTTTTATTTTTCGTTTCACTGTACAAAGGGAGATAATCCAGTTTATTTATGGTAGAAATTTTAGATAGAACATGTTTGTAAATAAGAAATACTTAATCATACTGTTGTGAAATCAAAATATCAAAAAAGCAAAAGCCTGTCATGTTGTGTGAGTGTTATATGAAGAAATATGCTTAATTCTTAGCAAAGAATATACACAGAATATCAAATCATATCAATTCAGTTTTGTTTTTCTTACTGATTAAACAGCTTTAAGATTTTTGGCAGGGGTCATCAAAGGTCATTTAAAGGTGGTGCTCCTACATCTTTGAAATTTTAAAAACCACCATGTGATTTCCTAGTTTAAAATGAATTGAAAATTTGTATTGTTCGAAAAGACCAAAATCATGAAAATCGTGACAAAAATATACACTTTGTTGACGTAAATTAAATATTATTGTCAATTATACAAGTCATTGACACAGACAAATTATTCTAAACATGTCAATTTAATTCTTAAAAATAAGATAATTTGAACAGTTCATGATTTCTGTGGGCAAAAAATAACATTCTGTTTGTATTTACAAATAATCACACATGGGCAATTATTGAAGGCATTTATTATAAGTGCTAAGTGCTCAATAACTTGTTTGTAAAGTTTCCCGGTGAATATATAACGTATTTATGCAGTGTATAGGTTTATTTTTGATGATTGAAAAAAGAGTGAAATGAACAATTGTAAACAAACAATTTTTTAAGCCATTTTTGTAAAAAAATTTACACAGTATTAGATTGATCTTGAAAGTTTTGAATTAAGATATATTTGATTAATGTTTTTAGCTTTGATATGAAAAGGAGCAAAAAATCAAACAACTAACATACAGTTATCTATCTTCAATTTCTTAGGTGGCATTTATTGTATTTATCATTCCAAAGTTCAGAGGTCAGTTGTAAATTGTTTTAATGTCGTAAGGGACCCATGAAAACTCTTTGAAATCATGTGCAATTTTGTGATATGTATATGTAAGAGCCTTATCATGTTTGGTACATATAATGTACATTTGTTTTCATCATTTCACATTCAGACATTGTAATTACCTCCCCTTATTCAGACAGTAGTTACCTCCCTTTTGTGTTTTCCTTTTTATTCAAACAACAAATATCAGTCTATCCAAAGTTATTTATACTTTAAATACACATCAATATTAGAATGTTTTTATCAGCTTTAAAACATTAAAAGTTTGCATTATAATTTAGAATACATGTTTTGTATTTAAATTTTGCTATTAATGAAAATATGTATGGTTTTTTTCCCATTATTCTGTGAGATTTTTCTAGCATTCTGATTTTAGAATACAACATATATGTTTTAATTATTTTAATATCTTATGACACCTTAAACTAATCAATGATTACATTTGTTGCCAGATTGTCATAGATTTTACAGCTAATTCTCTTATGAAGATCAATGTTTTCAATAAAGGATGCTGTCAGAGTTGTGACAACTAGGTACCCCTGTAAGAGGCCATGCAAATGTTTGTCATAGATTTTACTGCCAATACACCTAATCGCTATTTATTCCATTCCGGATAAGTTCTAAAATTACACAACTTTTTCATCAAGTTGAAGCTATCTGTGGCCCTGTTTAAACAATGCACCATGCATGATACTTTTTAATGAGATCTGTTTAAAACATTGTAAATACTTCAAACAAAATATTTTTTGACTATAATTTGAGTTTCGAAAAAGTGGATCATAATCTATCAAAGTTTCGTATTGATTGCTTTCTTAATTTTTCCCTCCCTCAGCTCGTTACTGGTGACCTTTGTTGTTTACCTGTTCAAGGCCTGTTGACCCAAACAGGAAGTTGTCTAAATGACTGTTTTTCCGGATTGGACTAAATAGCAATAAGGTGTATTCTTTTCTAGATCAGATTTTTAACAGTGACATTATCACTAATTTAGTTAGAATTCAAATACAAACCAGATATTCATTAAGTTTATTATTTCAATGCTAGATGAAATTTTCAAATATAAACACTCTTAGTTAAATGGTCAGATTTGCTCTAAACTATAGAGTTCATTAATGCAATTTATTATATAAACTCAACCATAAATGAGACAGCAACTGAGAAATAAGATGAATAGAATTTATTATCAAACTATATTATTAATTCCTGTAGAAAGAAAGAACTATTAGCACAAAATTTCAAAAAAATATTGCTAGTTGAAAATTCAGGTAGAAAAGAGTCTTACATGTAACTTATTAAAAGAATACTATACATTTAGACACTTTCAAGGTAGTAGGCAATCATGATCAGTGTATATCAGTTGAAACACATTCAATTGTGTAATCATGATCAGTGTACGTCGATTGAAACTGATTCAATTGTGTTAAAGGTTTCCCCGTAGTTATTTATTAGAGCTATTTTCCTAATGCTTGTAGTTTAAAGGTTTGGTTGGCTTGCTTGCTTGCTTTGTTTGTATAAATGTTTGCTGAAGCATTGTAATTAAGATTGACATCTGCAATCAATAGATAGGCGGGGTTCAGTTTGTAAACATTATACTCTGCATTATATTTAACATCCAATAATATTGTAAGTATAATGTATACAAGCTGAAGCCCCACCTATCTATTGATTGCAGATGTCAATCTTAATTACAATGCTTGAGCAAACATTTATACTAACAAAGAAAGCAAGCCAACCAAACCGTTAAACTACAAGCATTAGGAAAATAGCTCTAAAACTTTCTCTGGAATTTGTATTGGTTACAACTGATAACATTGAGCATGTCTGTGTAATATCTTACAATGATCTATTTTCTACAAAACTGTAAATTTTAAAATAATTACAAGCATTTATTATTGCAATTTTGACAGGACCAATCACAATTCCAGACTAATTATTGGGATTTAAAAAAAAAAGAGCTACAAACAGATATAAGTATCAGATATCAGAATGCGAGTTCTTATTATTGGGATACTCACCCAGTCCCATTATTCGCATTAATAAAAACCTCACTATAATTTCTGAATTTACAGTATTGAAAAGGAATATACCAATACAGATTATGCTAATGTTTGTGACACATTGGTTATCTTAAGCTCTATGAACAAAGAAAAGTTGCTGTACAATGTTTTATTTTGTTATTTTTTTTCTAATTTTGTAGAAAGTTCGAGGGACAGTGCAATGTCATCTTTTCATTTGCCTAAATCAGGGTAGACAACTCATGTTTATTGTGCAAAGCACAAACTATCTTGAGCAAAACATCTGTCATCTGTTTACCAAGTCTAATAATGTAAGAGACTAAAATACATTTCACTCTTTCCTGCTCTTATTCTGCAAACAGTCCTTAACTGAACCATTATTTTAAAATCCCTTGGAATAATTTGATGCAGCTGTTTTTTTTTTCATATTGTAAGTACTGACTAACTTTTTCCTGGGATTTATTGCAAGGATTTTTTCTGAGTAAAAAATTAATGAAAATATAACTCAAATAAGTAAAACTTAGATCTACCTTCACATAAATACATAATATTTTTAGAAAATCGTGAAAATAAATCGTTGCTTAGTCATGTTAGTGGTCTAGAAAGGGCTAAATGCTATATAAAGTATCCTGGAAAATAATGTTGTTTACAATTTCTACCCATACCATTTGTTGATATTTAAGAACAGGATATAAATGAAGACTCTTGACATTAACTTCAAGAATGACATTTTATTTTTTAACAAATGGTAATTGGCACAGTCATTATTGTTGCTTTAAAAAGCAATGTTAAATAAGTGTTAAATATTTTGTTTTATTGCCATCTTGGTTAAACTGAGACAGATGTTTTGTTCAGGATGAGAATTACATTTCATTTGTTGACATTTTAAAAATCATTATATTATCGATTGTTTTTACAAATTTTTATTCAGTTTTATATTGTGTGACATATTTTTAGCAGATTTGAGCAAACTTATAGATCAGTTTGTAAGTGGAGTGTCTAATATAGAAAGCTTTATTTTTTGTGTTATTTTAGAAACCTTATTTTAACCAGAATTTATTGTGTAAAATCAAAATAAGATTTGTTCACTATAGAAAATACTTGCAAATACTTAGTTCAATTTTTTTTTTATTTCATGCTTGTTTTTTTTAAAATGATTTGATAAAACTATCAATTTATAAGTCAATGATAAAGTGTTTTAATGATGATCAAGAAACAATAAGAAAATCAAGTACTAGTTGTCTCCAGTGCAGAATAAAATACTTTTACACCAAATAAAAAAGAAAGGGGTTCAAATTAATCTTGGTCGTGAGGTCCGCACCCTGCCTCTTTTGGAAGGGGGCTTTTCATTTTTGAAATACAAAAGTTAAGGATCTTTCAATCTTTACACCCATGCTTGAACCTTTGACGTTCTTAAGAACCTTTTATTTAAATATTCCAATAGTTCAGAACCTTTCTTTATATATAGCGAAAATAATGAAAGCATAAAAGAAGGATAATGAAAGCATAAATTTCCATAATGAGGAATTTTTTATAACATCTACGTGTTGAAAAAAAAGTTGCCAACTAGTATTGACATTCTAAGTTTCAAATATTACTCAAACTGTTTTACTAACTGGACAAGACTTAGATTTTGATTCAATACAAATAAGATGACCATTAGTATGAACTTTCATTTCTGTCCGTACTTATCATATCGTCATAAAACAACTTTTTAAATTGTGTTTAAAAAATGTTTGATAATGATTAAGTTTTCTTTCTAAATAATTCAAAATGTCAAGTTATTCAAGTTGATACAGTTGCATTTTAATTAGAAAATGAGTAATCATATCATATTCATGTTTGATAAAGGGTATATAAATTAGTAAGCTATTTAAAAATATATCAAAAATATCACAAGATCTTACTTGCTTATAATGAAAAGAAGTAAACTTGTAGAAGTAATACATCAAAAGCAAAAATATACAGTCAATTCAAATTGAATTTAAATATTATAAAAATGCAGTGAAGTCTGTCAAATTGGACATTGAAGAAGAAAATATCTGTTGTGAAAACATTTTATATATCTGTTTTCATATAGCAGTTTGATCATAATGCCATACATATTGTTTTTTAGAGTGGTCCAATTCAACAAGTACATTAGTAAACCGACAGGTTTCACTGTAAATGCAGTGGTTGTATCGTTGAAAAAAACTAAATTTAGGGTTGTGAACTTAAGTAGATTTTTTCTTGATAAAGTGCATACTTTTATCTTTCAAAAATTCATATACAAGTATAGATTTTTCTGTGACTTGGTGAAGTCAGTGATATAATTAAACCAGGTTTTATGTCTTGGAAGAAGTTGGTATTCTAGAGCGTATTTTTCCTTCTTGTTTAAAAATACATTTTCTGATCACAGATGGACACATGTGGTGACCATTTTAATGTAGGTTCCACATGATTTTACAGAAAATCTGGCAGTCAATTTAGATGCTTATCTTGAATTAGACAGTGAACTTCAAATGGTATTTTTAAGCACAGGGTAAAAAATAGACCTCTAAGAGTCAACTTCGGATTGTTATACTGTTGTTACATTGTTGAATTTTTAAACTTCATTGTCCTGAAATACATTTTTTAAGACATTTTGATTTTCATACTAACTTGCATTGGAGACAATTTCATCATTACATGGAGTATTCTCCCTTGCTATTATTCCTTTGAAATTAATATATGTATTATAAGTTATAAAGGATATTCTTTCTTGTGAAATTGTTCTTAAAGATCAAAGCTATGATAAGCTTTAATAACCATATGAAAAATATATTTCACATTACATACGCTATTTTCCCATTTTCAACTTCCTTTTAAGGTCAAAAGTCATCATTATTTTTATATCTGTTTGGCTTTTGCATTTATAATGTGTATGGCTGTTATTTATTATCATTTTTGGCTATATTTTGTTACTATTACCCAGGTGGTATATAAAAATACCACCTTATGTTTTGTTATCGTCATTTTGTTTTGTTTTCATTGTTTCCCACTGTGCTCAGTGGTATCTATGGTTACCTCAACGATATGTCAATGGCCATAAATATGTCATAAAAGTGGAAAAAATGAGCTTTAAAAAACATATGTTGTTGTTTATACTCCAATTATATTTTCATCAGCATCCCACTTTTGCCATCCAACATTTGACGAAATTAAGCAGTCTAATCTATTGAAAGATGCCAACCAATAGACAACTTCATTACAGTATAAAGTTATGACTACATACCCCACATTTCCACCTTATTTGTAATGATATTAATGTGTTTTATGTGTAAAGTTTAACACACTTTAGGTATATATAAAAACAAGCACCAAGAGGTCACCATACTATCTTTAACAATGAGCATATACCTACCGTAAAGTAAGCTACAAAAGGCCTGACATGCAAATCATTTTGAATAATTCAATAGAAAAAACCAATGGCATGATCATAAAATAATAAAGACAAAAAACATGACAAACAGCAACTAACAACAAACACTGCATTACAGGCTCTTGACTTTTAGACGGGCACATGCAAACAGTGACAATGTTAAATATACATGTATAAATTGGACATTAACCCTCCCATAACCAGGTACAGAGGAACAGCACAACAAATATCAAACTAAAAATCAGTTGTCTCTTCTTCAACGGGAAATCGGAAGAAGACCACTGAAAACGAGATAATTGTACTACCGACGGAAGGTTCATATGAATGATCGTATGAGCAAAAAGAGGAAAAACGGCGAAAAGACAAACAATACACAAAACACAACGTAGGATCAACAAGTTCACGTGGATCATATCTAAATTTACGGGCTCTATAAACAACATTAACGTAAATTTTAGCATGGGATATCCCGATTCTAATAAGATTTCTACGGGAACAACCAAACATTCAAACCATATATTTGCATCTACAGAATAGACTACTTTCCAGTTCTGAGTTACGTCGGCTGACCCGAAAATTAACTGCCAATGAAATGTTGAATTATTTCAAACATTAAGGATTTTCTACTCCCTGACATAGATAGCATAACCTATATTTTGGCACAGTTTTTGGAATTATTGAATTTTAGTGCCCATCAACTTTGTTGTTAGTCCCCTACCGACGAAGTCGAAGGGGACTTTAGGTTTGCACTCTGTCCGTCTGTCGTTCTTGAAGATATTGATTTGATATTTGGTATATAGTTTTATCATGACAAGTTATAGATCAAGTTCAAATTTTGTTCCGGTCTGATGATTTAATCCAGAGTTATGGTCCATAACTCTGGATTAAATATCTAATGTTAGAGTACTATGTTAAACCATATTTCTGTACAAAGAGAGATAACTATTTTTTTAAAAGACATTCTTTGTTCAATTATTTGAAGAATTTTGTGGCAGGTTTGTTAGTTATTTAGTATAAACTAATTTTCTGAATGCTATATATATAAAAAAATATGAAGAGAAATCCTTTAATTAGATAATAATCTATTTTTATTATGTATATATTTCAATTCATTACATTGTGTAGATAAAAGTTGTTGACAATTTATAGATAGTTAAAAATCTATATTAATTTGTGACAAATGAAAGAAAAAATATTTGGAACTATTAATTATATTTGATTATAATTTGAAAATAGATATACACTGTATTACATCATATCTAATTTTAGAGAACTATTAATCATATCTAATGTTTTTTCATCATGCTTATACGATATTGATTGATAATTAGTATATAGTTTTATCATGACAAGTTACAGATCAAGTTCAAATTTTTGTTTCGGTCTAATAATTTTGTGCAGAGTTATGGTCCTTGGACTTGAAATTTCACTCATACAATCAGTTTTTCACACTGTTTTTAGTCATGCTTGAAGATATTGACATGATATTTACTTTTTGTTTACACCATGGCAAGTTATATAACAAGTTAGCATTTTGTTCCAGTATA